TGGATGGATGAGTGGGTGGGTGGATGGATGGATAGTAGGTTGATGGATGGGTGGGTGGGTGAACAGGTGGGTGAATGAGAAGTGGATGGGTGGTTGATAATGAGTATATGGATAGTGGATATGGATGCATGGTAGGTAGATGGATGAATAGATGAGAGAGAGATAAATGATAGATGAATAATGGGTGGATGATGATTGGCTGACTGGCTGATTGGATGGATGGATAAATGGATGGATGGTAGATGAATAACTAAATAAATATGAATATTCATAATTCTAAAGAATTAGACCCACAGAACAAGCAGAACACACCAGGTCTTGCATCTAAACACAGTTTTATATTTTTACCAAAGCCAGGACATATTTGTACTTTGAAAACTCCTTTGATAGGTAGAGATTAATGTTTCCACTCCCAATTTGCAAGCTCCAGAGAGGTCCAATGAGTAGCACACTGTAATGAAGGCCGAGTCTTTCCCACATCCATGGGAGGTGTCTGCAGCCCACACCTTCCATGGGCTGTCTGGGGGAGAATTCTCTTCAGTTCAAGGATGCTGGAAGATTCATTCAGATGATGGAGCTAGGTTGTGACACAACCCTGGCAGGTCGGGAAAGCCTTGACAGAGACTGTGGGTCCCAGAAATCCTCATCAGGAGGAAGTTTGGAAAGCACACAGGAAGTGATGACTTTGCCCCTGAGGACATTCCCCTCCCCCCATGCATGTTCACCACAAAAGGTGGTCCCACCAAAGCACTCCTAGGTACCCTTTTGCTGGTATCCTCCCTCAGGAGACACAGTCTTTTTTGAGGTTAAGGTGCCTAGCCCTGAAGGGGATACTCCTGTGTCCACACAAGTCCCACCATTCCTTTCTCCCTCATTCCCCCCACCACACTATGGGGATATTGTTGTCTAGGGGGATAGAGAGCCAGAAGGGATGCCAAGTCAGCCACCCAGGTCATCCAGCTGGTACTTCAAACCTACTCAAGAAGGACAACTTTCAGTGTGTAATAGGGTCTCACTAGTGCATAAGAGGCCAGGCCTCTGTCCCCCCCCAAGGGCCTACTCCACCACCCTCTGACCTTAACTCTTCCTCATTGAGCATAGCATACCAGGTGTGTCTCCATTCTGACCATGTGCCGGCCTAAGGTGCTGTCTCCAGTAGGCTCCTATAGAAAAGTTGCTACAGTTCAAGAGGTTCATAGGACTCCCCCTCCCTCTCTGATGGTGAGTCCTGAGCTGGGTAGAGCTGGGGCAGGGGCTCTGACAACTGGGGAGCTATTACAAGCTGCTAGAGCCAGCAGGTTTTGGGCCATGACACCAAGGACTAGATGGGTCCGTAGGCTACTTGATTCTACTCCCACTGAGGCATCCATAAGGTGTAGCTGCCCAGGCAACCTGTGACTTAACCTCGGGGAGGCTGAGACCCATTCAACCCCACAGGCTCATGGCAAGTGAGGTGAGACCCACTACTTCTAGGGTCGTGTGAAGAGCAGAGTGTTTCCTAGGCCCAGGGCTCCTAAGTTCAGCTGCCAGCTCACATTGCCAGACCAAGGGTCTGGAGAAAGCACCCCACATCTACCCCCCACCATGCCTTTCCCCTTGGTCACCTGAGCTGGGGGCCCACGGCATTGTAGACCGTTATGATCGGGAAGCCATTGAAGGTGGAACTCATGGAGGTCTTGTATGCACCCACGTCAGGGAAAATCAGCCAGTCACCCACATCCAACTCTGGCAGCTGGACCTCCTTCAAGGAGAGCTTGTCGGAGGCATCACATGTGGGGCCATAGAGGGTGCAGGGGAAGAGGCGGGGCTCTGAGGGGAACTCCTGCAGGGAGAAGGAGATGGGGTCAGAGAGAAGGGTCTCACTATGTTGTTGATATGGTTCTGGGAGACATGATCATCCAGTAAGGACAGCACCATTCAACCACAGTGAACAGTGGCAGAGTGGCTGCTCTGTGCCAGCCTTTAGGACTCACTCAAAAGCCCTTCCTGGAGCTCTCATTGCATCAGGGCCATGACTTGGTCCACCAGCTCACAAACACATCATGTGTACATGCTAAGAACCCAAAGATGGGGTCTCAGAGTCCACTGCCCACTGGAGCCACCAGGGGAGTTTTAATGATGAATGGATGCTGGATTTAACCTGGGGGTTTGAATCTATTTTTATATATGAGAGCATGGCCAGGCGGTGGGGACTTTGACAGCTTGGCAGGTGGCTCTAATGTGAAGGGAGCTTGGGAACCAGTACTCTCCAACATTCCAGAGTTCCTCCACAAATACACCATACACACACACACACACACACACACACACACACACGGAAGCATCCAGAGCTGATCAGACCCACGCAGCCTCCACAGACGTATGTGTCTGCACAGGCATGAATCACCAGGTGTGCACCAGGAAACACATACAGATGTATACATGCCGTGCCTCGCACCCACGCCCAACATGACAACCTGCAGAACGTGGGTGACCCGAGACCCTGCCTCTCGGGTCAGCAACTGGACTTGGTGGTCTCAGGACACAAGGTCCCCTTACCTTCACCACAATGGGTATCCTGGGGACAGGTTCCCTGAGGAAGATTCGGAAGGCACCGTAATAGCCCTCATTGAGATAGTATGCCATCTTCCTGTGGTCTCCTGGGAACAGGGAGTGGACAGGATGAAGTGTGTTTGGTTAGGTCTCCCTGATGAGGCCCAACTCCCTTGGGAGAGGCGGCTGCCCAGTGAGGCAGAATTCCTGCCTTGTCCTAAGGGTCTTCCCCAACCCACCTTCTGTCATGGCTAGGGGCATGGCACCAGGCCCCACTGCCCTCCGCTCCCCGCATAGGAACACTGAACAGCAGTAAGCGGCAAGGGATGATCTGTTTTAGACTCATGTGTGGAGTACATGGATTCTCTTGCCTATTCTTATTGTGTACCATAACCCCTGCATTACAGTCGGAGAAACTGAGTCTTGCCACAAGTCCACAGGGGTAGGCAATGCCCTCGAATTATCCCCAGACACAGGTTCAAGTGCTTGGAGTAGGTCCCCGAGTGCCTACTGTGTGAGGCAGGACAGGAACAGTGGCTGTTTGATGTTTCACTTCAGGGCGCGCCAGTGAGTACATTGCCTTCCTTTCAGGGATGCCTTTGTTCACTGCAATTCCCTCCTTCCCTCCCTCCCTCCCTCTCTTCCTCCCTCCCTCTCTTCCTCCTTCCCTCCCTCCCTCCCTCCCTCCCTTCCTTCCTTCCCTTCTTCCTCTCTTATTTACATGGTGTTGGTGGATTGAACCCAGGGCCTTGCTTTTGCTGGGCAAGTGTTCTACCACTGAACTACATCTGCAGATCTTGGCTTTTGAGATGGGATCTTACCATGTTGCTCAACAAGGCACTGAAGTTGTTATCTTTTTGCCTCAGCCTCCCAAGTGCTGGGATTGCAGGCATACGCCACCACACCTGCTTTATCTTAGGCTTGTGTTTGTTTGAGATAAATTCTCCTAGCCCACACTGGCCTGTGTGGTGTAGACTTGTCTTGAACTCATGATCTGCCTCCTCATCTTGAGTGCTGGCATTAGAGGTGGGTACCAGCAAGATCTGTATCCTCAGCCTAAGTGCTGGCATTACAGGTGGGTACCAGCACCCACCTGGCATCCCAGACACTCTGGCATCTGGGCTCTGCAGACACAGAAGAGTCTGACCTTCCCTGGCTAGCTAATTCCTAGAGGCAGTAATTATCCCTCAAAATGGCCTCCCTCATGTGCAACTACTAGTCCAGAGCCCAAGCAGCCAACTGCTTCCTTTTTTATTTTTAGATTTATTTTACGTGTATGAATGGTGTGTTTGCATGTTTGCCTGTACACCACATTCATGCAACACCCATGGAGGTCATTGAAGTTACTGAAGTTACAGATGGTTGTGAGCCACCATATGGGTACCGAGAATTACACACAGGTTCTCTAAACTGCTGAACTACCTCTCCTGCCCTGCTGATTCATTTCTTGAGCAATCCTTGTTCCATCCACTTTCTCCTGGTGTTTGCCACCCTAGACTCAGAGACCAGAGCCATCCTTAGACTTTGGAGCCTGCCAAAATTACCAAAATCAGCCAGAACAGCGCCTGTCTTGAATGCCCACCTCGTCATTCCCTCTGTCACAAATCTCAGTGGAAGCAGAGTGGAACATCTCCCGTCTGTAACCCCAGCACTGGGGTGGGAATGCTGCCTCAAGTTCCAGGCCAGCCTGGACTACAAACCGAGACCCTATCTAAAAATAATAATGAAAGTAATTGTAGAATGTAGTTCAGTTGGTAGAGTTTGACTAGTGCGCACAAAGTCCTTGCCAGAACCACAGAAAACCTGTCATTGTGTGTAGTTGGCTGGGTTTTGTTTTTTTTTTTGCTTATTTGTTTTTTGTCTTTTTACTATTTTATTCTTTGGGGGGCTTGCCACCCATCTCCCAAATAAATACTTACTTATAACATAAATACCCAGCCTTAGCTTGGCTTATCTCTTGCCAGTTTTTCTTAAATTATCCCATCTACCGTTTGCCTCTGGGCTTTTACCTTTCTCTATTCTATATGCTCTTCTTTACTTCTTACACCATGGCTGGCTGTGTAGCTGGGTGGCCCCTGACGTCCTCCTCTTCTTTTTTCTTGCTCCTTGATCCTCCCTTCCCAGATTTTTCTGCCTTTTTATTCTCTCTGCTTGCCAATCCCCACCTATCCCTCTCCTGCTGGGCTATTGGCTGCTCAGCTCTTTATTAGACCAATCAAGTGTTTTAGGCAGGCAAAGTAGCACAGCTTTACAGAGTTAAACAAATGCAACATAAAAGTATGCGACACATCTTTGCATCGCTAAACAAATGTTCCATAGCATAAACAAATGTAGCACATCTTCAACTAACATTCCACAACAATGATGGTGTATACCTGTAAACTCAGAACTAGGGAAGTAGAGGCAGGAGGATCAGTAGTTTAAGGTCATTCTCAGCAACATAGATGTCAGGGAAACCAAGAATGTTAATCATTTAGGGGTGTCTCCTCAAAGGAGGAAATAAAATACCTGCATTCCATCCAGAAAGCTTGGAGTGGGGATTGTTAATGACCTGGTGACCTTCTATAACTGTAGAGGCAGACTTCACCCAGGCAGACCTCACCCAAACCCCTGAATGTTTATCCCAGATAGACATTGACTGTTGGCTCTCAGTCAATAGAACCCATCCTGAGGGGAGATGTCACATGTAGTTTATAGCCTGCTGACCTCTATGTTATTGGTCAAAGACCATGCTAGATTCTAGACCTTTTGGCTATAGAACCCCCACCCACCACGGTCACATGTGTTTTGTAAAGGAGTTCCTATGCAGTCACACCCTCAGCTTTATCGTGCACCTGGGATGATGATGATGGCTGCCTGGAAATCTTTCTTCCAGATTCTTTTGAGTTTAAATATGCCAACAATAAACCGCCTACCATTAGACTCCCTGAAGCTTGATCCAGGCTGACGACATCAATCTGAACGGCGTTTTCATTCTCACCTCTTCAAGGATTGCTTCGCTGCCTGCCTTGACACCTGCAGAGACCCCCTCACATGGCAGGAGCCAGGTCAGCCTAGACTACACAAGACCCTCTATCCACGAACATCACAGTGAAGATGCTGGCCTACTCTCCCTTCTCACCTAATTCACTCTGTGTGGATAATTCATGCAGGGACTCTTGTCTCTGGGAAAGTGTGTGTAAAAATTTATCTGAGACAGCTGTCTCCATGTAAGCATGCCTTGCCATAGCTAATTAGGACAAATCTTTAGGACAAATCCTGGGTGTGCTATAAAACCTTGGCCAACTCTGACAGCACCAACGGCTGCAGATGGCTCCCTCCCTCAGAACACGCCGCCTCTATTGATATTACTCAAATAAGCAAGTGCCAGCTTTTCCTCTAGCTCCTTCACACTCTTTTCTATGACTCTCAGATCCTGCAGACACAAGGGCCTACTAAGCTTATTCTTCACAGCCATCTTAGCCCATCTTCACATCCTTGCTCCTGAACCTGCATGCAGAATTCCAGTCAGACTCTGTCAACATCTGGGCGATCGGCGGCCATTTGGTTGTGAGCCTCGCCTTTAACAGCTGAGCCATCTCTCCGGTCCCCGGCGACCATTTGGAAGCTGACTCTGAGTACACATTTTCTCACCTCTGGTTTCCCTTCTTTCTCTCCCCTATCTCCTTAACCCCAATTCCAGTGATACCCAGGTCAATTCTGGATTGAGTTTCTCGTGATGCTAGGGATGAAGGGTACCAGCCCTGGAGTCAGGAAGGCATAGGCTGGCTGCTCTACTGACTAGCTGTGCTACCTTGTACAGGTCACTGCCCCTCTCTGAGTCTCCCAGTCTACATATGTTCACTGGGGGTGACCCAAAGCTGCCTCGCAGGATCGGTGAGCAGACCTGAAGTAAACTATGTATTTCAGCTGCCGCTGACTTCCGCAGATTGGCAGCTCTTGCTTTTGTTTATGTAATGAATAACAAAGCTCCCAAATCCTTGTAATTGGCTGTGGTGAAATGAGTGAGGACAGGTGCGCTCCACCCCAGCATCCTCCGATGAGGCGCTTCATCAAAGGCTAATAAGGGAGGGCATCAGAGTGACGGTAAATATTTACCTGTGGGTGTCACTCAGTCCTGAAGATCAAAGAGGGCTAGTTCAGTGGATGCCGACCTGGGAATATTCCCAATTTCACCATGAAAACATCTCTGGTTCATTCGCTGGGAACATGGCCACCCCAGGTCCCTCCCACACTCAGAGGCAAAATAGCTGAAGAACTCTCCTGGGAGACACGGTGATGCGTGTCAAAAGGTACTGTCGCCGGAGGATGTCAGCCTTAGGGATGTGTCCCATCACGGCAGTCAGCCCTGCTTTATCTACTGTGGGAGCTTGTGCCCAAGTTCTCTGTTACTGATAGAAACTGTCACCTCCTGCACCCAAGGGTTTGCTCGCAGTTGACTAGGTTTAGTAACGGGTGTGTAGCGCCCTAGAGGCAGACCCTTGCAATTGCTCCCACAGGGCAGCAGACTTACCCACTACCTAGAAGGGCACCTTGGTCTCTGCCCTTGACCTTTCCCTCTTCTGGGGCACAGTAAACAGTTCCCAGACAGGGCCAATCCAGTATGCAACTCTGATCTCAATTTCTGTAATTAGGCACCCAGTGTATACCCCAGAATCATGGTCCAACCTCTCCCCGAGTCCCGGGACATCTGCACAGTGGCTACACCTGGCACCCACCTGGCTCCAGGGAGGCTTTCTTGGCTATGACGTTCACGGCAGCTGTGCATACAGACTCCGCATAGAAGCGGCCAGGCTCTGCGATGACCTGGACACCAGTCCCCTCTGGGAAGTACTGGGCCCGGGCAGCATTGATCACTGTAGCCATCTATGGAGACAGATCCAGCCTCTGCTGTATCCTGAGGATACACAACTGCCATGACTAGCCCCCTTTCCTCTGCCCCTATAATAGCCATTCAGATAGCAAGCACACCTCCTCTTACTCAAGAAGAAACAGGTAGAAAGGAAGCTGAGAGAGGCCAGAGCACACAGCCAGTGTGAGGGCCCTGGCACCCTGAGGATACGACCTCACAAATAATTGACACATGGTCAGCAGAGACAGAATGTCTTCATGGTCCTCTGAAGCTAAGGGACCATGAGTGTCTACCAGGGTCAGGATCAGCAGCTAAAGGACACGGAGGGGCTGTAGGGATAGCAGGGCAGGGGGGATATAACGCCTACCTCATGAGAGGCTGGGGGTGAAAAAGAAAATGACAGGAAGAGGGGGAAGAAGGAGCAGGAAGAAGAGGAATGGAGGTGGGAGGGGGACAGAAGGGGAGGAGGAGGAAGAGAAGGAAGAGGGAGGGGAAAAGGAAGAAAAGGAGGAGGAAGAAGAAAAGAAGGAAGAGGCAGAAAAGAGCATTGTTGGATGTGACTCCTGATCTTGGACCAGAGCTGTGAGGCGACAAAAAAAGCACAGCAAGCAGGTGCATACGCTCAGACACGCTCAGGTGCACACACTCAGACACACTCTCAGACACTGGTGCACACACTCATACACACTCAGGTGCACACTCTCAGACACGCTCAGGTGCACACGCTCAGACACGCTCAGGTGCACATGCTCAGACATGCTCAGGTGCACACACTCAGACACACTCTGATGCTCACTCTCAGACACGCTCAGGTGCACATGCTCAGACACACTCAGGTGCTCACACTCAGACACACTCACAGTCACACACGTAGTCAGGTGAAGATGTCTGTCAGACTCAAACCACAGTGTCCACAAACAGACAACCAGTTATGCGAGGTTCTATGTATAAACACACAGGCATGCGCACACACTTGTCCCCCCACCCCAAGCTGCTATACTCAGACTGCCACTCATACCCTGGGGCCATCCAGCTCACCTCCTCAAATTTAGCTTCAGAGCCCTCAGTTCCAGGGAAGCCTCCTCCGAGATCCAGGAGGCTCATGCAGTGACCCACCCTGCGGTCCATCTCAAATACACGATGGCAGTCAGCGATGGCCTGCCTGTAGCTCTGGGGTGTCTGGCAGTCGGAACCCACGTGGAAGCTGAACGTGGCCGATGGTGTGGAAGACACACAAGTCAGTGTGAGGACAGATGCACTGAAGAACACTCACCCAGGGGCTGCAAGACCAGTGCCAGCCTGTGCCAAGATGACACTGGCCCACTTAGCACCCGTAGATGTATGTGACCTTGGTCATACCCGGCGTCCTCCTGGACACACATAGCCCATACTCACCCAGTCAGGGATAACGACAAAGTAACATTTTCTTCCCCAGCCACCCATTCCCAATGCCTTTGTTGAAGGGGCTCTCCTCTTACCTAGAACCCTACAACCCACTGCCCCCTGAAGGCAAACGGAGAAACCAATTCAGGTTAGAGGGGATGAGGTGAGTGAGAATTTTCTCACCAGATGCGGCTTGGCTGGTCAGATGGCCCAGAGAGTAAAGACACTACTGAGTTCAATTCCTGATCCCCACATGGTAAGAGAAGAAAACTGGCTCCTAAAAACTGTCCTCTGACCTCCACATGTGTGCCATGGCATGAGCACACACACATAAATAAAAAAAAATAATTGTTCCAGGACAGGCTCCAAAGCTACACTAGAAACCCTGTCCCAAAAAAACAAAAGAAAAAAAATAGTATCTCATATAGCACAAGCTAGCCTCCAACTCATTAAATAACCAAGGGTGACCTTGAACTTCTGACCCTCCAGCCTCCATCTCTGGAGGGCTGGGAGTGCAGGGTACTCACCACCCTGGTTTTATTCGGTGCATACTAGGCAAGAACGCTACCATTTGAGCTATGTCCCTAGCTCCGCTCCCCCGCTTTTTTTGAGTCTGAGTTTCCTGCTGTCCAGCCTGCTCCTGATCTTGTCCTGCCTCTGCCTCCTGGATGCTGGGATTACAGCTGTGTTCCCCACACCCAGGACTCAGAATCCCTTAAAGAGAAAAACGAATGCACGTCTCCTGGAGGGATGAAATGTACAAAATTTCCATCCGAGACTCGATCTGTAAAGTGATTAGACCCCAAGGGAAGAAAAGGAATCAGCGACAGCGATCCTGACTCCATTTAAAATTCCAATTTTTCTCATCATGGAGATTTTTGCATTTGTTTTGATTTTTTTAAATGCTGTTTGAAAATGTTATATATCTGGAGTGTTAAGTTTCTGATGTTTACTTCAATTTGTCTCCTAGGCTATTCGTGCCTCACATCCTCTAGGCCTAGAAAACACACAAATCAGAGGTGTCCCCGAGAGTCCTTGGCTACCTAGGGACAGCAATAGAAAACAAGACAGAAAAGGCCAGTGCTCACGTACGAGGCCCCCACCACGGCCAACCCCAGCTCTCTGGCAGCCTGAAGCAAGTGTGCGCATGACTCCAGCTGAGCTCCAAACTTGGCATTCAGTGGGAAGGTGCTTTGACTGTCCCGGGCCTCTATCCGGAGGACCAACCTGGAAGAGGAAGGAGGGAGGGGGGCATGGGTGCACGGGAACCCTGAGGAACTCCAATCTTCCCACCCACCCCTGCCTAGCTGCTCCCGACGACCCAGCATGGAGACCAAGGAGTGAACACACGCTTTTTACAGAATTTTTCCAGGCAAGAACAAGTGGGATAGAATCACACAGTTAAGCTTTCTAAAGAATCTGAGGTATAGGCCGGGTGATGGTGGTTCACACCTTTAATCCTAGCTCTTGGGAAGAAGAGGTAGGCAGGTCTTTGAGTTCGATACCAGCCTGGTCTACAGATAAGTTCCAGGACAGTCAGGGCTACATGGAGAAACCCTCTCTTGAAAAACTAAACAGAGATGTTACATGCTTTCTTAAGATCACACAGCATAGGGGTAATGAATCTGAAATGTGAGCCTTGGGATGACCTAGTATAAATAGTTTTTCTGTGACATCATGGATGCCAGACCTTCTCAGGCCAAGCTCGGTTCAGTGCCAGAGCAGAGTCAAGGTCTATTTGGTACTAATGTGATCCTAAGAAAGCATTGGGCCTCCTGGTTGAACCCTTGTACCTGTAGTCCCAGAGGTTTCGAGACCCAGATCCATCTGTCGGAGTCCCTTGGCCCACTGTTTCCAGTTGTATGTCTGCCAGCTTACCTGGCCCCAGGGTGGTGCTGGGCCACCTTAGCCAGTTCCTCCTCACTGTCGAAGGTCAGAAGCTGCACCCCATGGCGGGCTGCATACTGGATGTGGGAGATGGCCTTGCATGGGTTGGCGAAGATGATTCGTGAGGGGGCTACGCCCAAGCCCAGCACTTGCTCCAGCTCCCCCTGGCATGGGTGAAGGTCAGAGTTGGGGCTGCCCTGCAGTCCCTGCCTTCCCTGACTCTTTGGGGACAGTGCCTTAGCCTGAACTAGTGGGGATACCTTCCAGTGAACCCCTTCTGGGACCAGGTCCTTCACTGGGAGAGTGTCAGGTCCCAAAGAAACCTGGGACAAGTTTCACTCCCTACCTGTGGCTCACCCTGCCCCCTACCCTGAACCTCTCCAACCCAGGGTCTGGACTTTGCTTCCCTTCCTCCAACCTCTGATTCCTATGTGACTCAGGCATTTTGTCTATTTGCTCTCTTGGTTCCCATGTGCCTCTTGGTCCTCTTCTTCTCTCCTCTCCTCTCCTCTCCTCTTCCTCTCCTCTCTCCTCCCCTCCCCTCCCCTCCCCTCCCCTCCTCTCTTCCCTCCCC